CTGAAGTTTTGACTAAACAAACCCCAAAGTTCTTCCAATTATGACAACTCAATTCCAAGCAATACTACTAAAACAACTGCCAGTGAGGCACTGTGGGCTGAGTTAAAATATAAACCTAGTATCCATATTACTTAACCATAATCAAAAAAGGAATCAACCACTTCTACCATATGATATCAGTAAAACAATAACATTTAAAATCCCTTTGTAGACGTCTGTATTAAAATATAGGACCTAGAAAATCTTTTTGTAAAAAAAGCAATTTAAAAAATCAATTCTAATCACTCTAAAAATTGCTCCAATCACTCAAAGTTACTTCATTTATATCTTAAGTTAGCTACATTTCTACTGCCACTCCTTAATGGAAATGAAGACAGGAGACAGGAATTAAACTGATTCTTGAAACTCAGGAAAGTGGAGACTTTTCAAGTAAAATAAAAAAGGTCTTCTCAAAGCAGCAAAGCCTGTCTAGAGAAGGAAAAGAAACAAGGAGGAAAGAGATGTCAGCCACTGTAGGCTACTCATGCACAGAAACAGTCTCTCTGGTAAAATCTACATTTACTTTATTCTAAGAAGAGAGAAATGTAGCAAAAAAAAAGAAAAACAGAAAAACCACCAAAGAGACATAGCTTCTATGGAGGCAAACTATACCTACAATATGTAAGATTCAAACAGAAAATATATTTAGAGAAACTTCAAGTGCTTAAATTATTTTCCTGGCAGACAATAAGCTAGAGAGAGAGACAGAGACAGAGACACGGAGAGAAAGAGAAGCATTATAGATGTTACATAACCAACAGGTATTTTATTTGCTAGTACAGGTAATTTAACAACTCAGCTAACGTTTAGTTGGATCAAATAGGTAGAAATGCCTTTTAGTCCCTTATCTAAATGTTTCCCTTCCTTACATTCCCCCTGCAGTTTAAAGCTGCTGAATCTCAACCAAGGTAAGCACACTCTTGCCATTAAAAATAGGAGGGCCTGGCACCTTAACTTTAAAACAAATAAGGAGAAAATGTGATGAAGTAGCATATTACTTCTTTGAATGTTAGGACATTCTTGTACATATCCAAGACCAAATATAACCACTGAGTTTTAAGTTTAACTTTCAATTCAAATCTGCTACATTTAATTTGTTTCAGCTTTAGCAGAAATTTTACTGCTTCATTAGAGAAAGAAAGTTACTTTAGAAACAAGAAAAGTAACAGAAGTATCTAGGGACATGCTAAAGACCTTACTATCTGCCTTTGCCAAAGTTCTCTTTAAAAATAAATAACATAATTCACACGAGATATCTTTCACATCTAACTGCTAAGAAGCATTTCTTCTGAATAACTGGTAGGTTTCTGTCTTTTGCCTTACAAATCTTATAATAGTGTTTCCCTCTTTCGTATGGCAACCAGAAATATCAAAACCAAATCTACAGTTTTCCTCTAGTAACTTAACAGTGTGGTACCCACCATCCTATACTTTTTTACCCTTTGTGCTAATTTCATTAGCTACTTTAAAAAACTGTTGTCTAATAAAATTCTAAAACCACTCTCAAATCCTCTTTTGAACAAGTCAGAGAATAAACAAACACCGGCAAAAATAACTGTCATCTCTCTTAAAAAGTAATCGGGATTCTACAGCCAGGCAGAAAATACTAAGTGACCATGGCTAAGAGAGCTCTGGTGCTACCTGAAAAGTTTAAATATATTCTATTGTTCCCAATTTCCTAACCTAACCTTCGACACTATTCTCCTTTATGACTTCCTTTTCTTTCTTTATAATACTAAAAGTGATGAGGTATCTTCCCTATCACTAGAGAAAAGTTTTAGGGGATATCATCACCTCAAAATTAACATAGCAAAGCTTGCTTTCTCAACAGATTTGAAGTCCACTGTTGCTGTCATTGCACTGTCACAGATCATCTTTTTTGAGATCTGAGCAGCAACAACTGGTAAAGCAGCTGTGCAAACACTGTTTTGTGACTGGCAGATGGAGAAGCTTCTTACCCTGTCATCAATGCAGAGTTCTAGGCTCGACAAGGTGGCTATTTTGGCCTCTGGCAAGGTAAAAGCTCCCCTACCTGCTCTTTTACACATGCCTTTTCCATCCATTAGTGGTACATACTTACTGCTCCAAAGGCAAATGATTGCTTTTTTCTGGGGGAAAGAGGATGCAGATGATTTTGTAATAAGTCTTTTCATGTCAGTTCCACAAGTGTGGCTGTAAAAGCATGTAATTTCAACCACTCACCTTTATAGAATGGGAAGTCACATGAGCAATTCAGAGACTCCCTGAATTTTCCCAACACCATTTTCTCTTCTGAGTTTCAAAGATTTTAAACCAATGATTATTGGGATGATCAATATGTCTATTGATAAGTGTCCTTTCTCAACCCTCCCAATCCCTTAAAGCAGTGGCTCCTGCTCAAGCTTTACCTTTTATCAGAATCACCTGGCAGGCTAGTTGAAACACAAATTGCAAGACCCTATCCCCAGTTTCTGAACTAGTAGGTGTGGGGTACTCCTTGGAAATTTGCATTTCTAACAAATTCCCAGGTGATGTTGATGCTGCTTGTCTAGGTGTTACACTTGAGAACTGCTGCCATAGTCAAATATTATACATGCAGACTAGTTAAAATATCACCTTAACTAAACAGAGTTTACAGTTTGGGGCATTCTAACCCAAAATACTAAGAATCACAGAAATGATATAATCCAATGCTATCAAAACGGAAAAAACAAGTGCCTTCAAATGTAGCTGACAGTACTTAAATCAGTACAAATCTTCCCAGGGCACAATCAAGTGAAATGCTAAAAAGAGCCATAAAAGAATATTAAGTAATCCTATTTTCCTAAGGAAATAATTCAAAGCAAAAGCAAAAAAAAAAGATCAAAAAAAAAGATCTAGAAAATAATCATGGAATCCACAGTATACTGAATAAATGGAGTATTACCTGACCATAAAAACAATAAAAATTGAAGCCTATCATATTATACGTGGAAAGGTAAAAATAAAGTATTTAAATGAAAAATACAGAACATAAAGCTGATCACAAAGATATAAGTTTACTGATAAAAATCAGAAGTAGCCTCAATAGATGCAATATTTAAGGTGAAGGAATGAGATATTTCAGACTATTTTTATATGATATTCAAAAGCTGTCAAATATTTTATAGAATATTTTAAAGTAGTTTCTGATCTACAGATTACAGTATCATCTAATTCACTGAAGATTACATTAATATCTATGAAACTGATATTTTTTTAAAACTTTAAAAGTAGAAAAATGGCTAAGAAAATGTATTTAAAGTTCTCTGATAGTACTTCTTTAAAACTGCAGTCTGAAGAAAGGAAACTTAATAACTTACTATGTTGGCCAGAGCTAGTAAAATTTTTTGAACCAAATGTGTGTAGTGGTAGAAGCAACAGAAATCATAATTAGAAAAAATAAATTGGGAACCAGAATCTAATAATAATCTAAGAAAAATCTGTTGAAAAAAATTAATCCAATCAATGAAAAAAAAAACTGTTAGAAATATCGACCTTTAAAGTATGTAACTTACTGTTTTGATTCATTGTGACAAACTTCCAAGGTTGGATCATTATAAATAAAAGCAGCTTCTAAATCATTGATCCTTACTCGGTATATTCTACACTGTTTGCTGTTCAACTTGATTCTATTTAAGTTTGCAACTGTGGGAAATATAGTCAGTTCCACAAATCCCTGTAAAGATAAAGAATAATAATTTCATTAAAATGAACACAGATATGTTTTAGAACATATTTCTTTGATTTCTACTACTTATACACATACTACAATCCAGAGACAGAATCCCAAATAGCTACACACATACAATCTCTCCAAGGATCTTCACTTCAAGTATGGCTGTCCTAGTGACTGAATGGGTCTGAATTATGTTACTTTATCATCCTGGTGGTTCACATTCACTATCAGTGAAAAGCAGACCATCTGCTAGAAAAGAAAATAAAAGGACTACTCACAAATATAAGAATTTATAGACAGACTGGAATCCAAACAGAGGGGAAAGGGGGAAAAAAAAAAACAACAGAGCAAAAAGAGAATCAAAACCACTTCAGTGAGTAAAAGAACAAGGCCCCTCAAAATAGGGTAAAAAACTATACCGCCAAAGCTAACAAGTATGAGTCTCTGCTCATGGGAGGTAAGTCAGGATGTGAGGTGGCAAGAGTTACAAGAAACATATAGGCAAGTAGGGAAAAATCTACTGCCACCTCCAAGAGCAGCAGACACTTCAAAGTGCTGCATGATTTCCTACCAAGCAGTCCCAAGGCCATATACAGTTCTACCACCTTAGCTGTGTGGCGAGCCATCTATCTGAAGCAGGTACATAAGACATGAGAGACGGCTATATATACCGACTGTCCACCACCCTCTTGCACTGAATCAAATGGGAAAGATGGACCATTGAAACAATGAATGTATGTCCAGTGAGTTTAATATTCTGGGTTGGAAACATAAAATATGGAGGACATGAAATAGTAACATTTCAGGGGATGCAACAGGAATATCTAAGATGAAATTCAGGCAATAACCATACAGAAGTAGATTATAACAACTGCAATGGCTACTATTTAATGAGCCCTACTATATGCCAGACATTACACTACTTTCATATGTTCTAATCCCATTAACAACTTTAAGAGACAAGTACTACTTTATACTTTTTACAGATTAAGAGTTAAGAAAATCATACCCCAAAAAAAAAAGAAAAAAAGAAAATCATACCATGAATAAGTGGAGAACTGAGATTCAAACCCACATCTAAATGATCCCACCTGATTCCCATTATGCCATAATGTCCCTCAGTACAATGCTTTTTTTTTTTAAGTTTTTTTTTTTTTTTTTTTGGTGGTACACGGGCCTCTCACTGTTGTGGCCTCTCCCGTTGCGGAGCACAGGCTCCGGACGCGCAGGCTCAGCTGCCATGGCTCACGGACCCAGCCGCTCCGTGGTATGTGGGATCTTCTCGGACCGGGGCACGAACCCGTGTCCCCTGCATCGACAGGCGGACTCTCAACCAGTGCGCCACCAGGGAAGCCCCAGTACAATGCTTTTAAATAACATGCAAGAACGTAAGAATATTTTTTAGAGAACATTCAGCCCAAATGCTCAAAAGCCTATTGATTCTACAGCCCTTTTTCCCCCAATTCCCAAATAAGAGAGTCATACATCCTTAAATTAGACCATCTGGACAGATTTATGTGGAAGCAAATAAGAACAGAAAAAAGCAGAAGCAAAAATACTGCTGATGAAGTCTCTGAGTTGAAACTGTGAGCAATTGTATGAAGATCCAAATTCCCTTAATTAGCATACCAGCAATCCAATGACCAATCTACATAAATGAGCTTGGATCAGCTGAAAGACAGCAAGGAGAACCAAGATAATGTCAAAAGTGAACTACAAAAGATTATGTAAAGTGTTGTCATGAAGTGGTTACAGGAGTGAGACATAAGAATAGGCTTTTGCTTTCTAAACTAAGTTTAACAATAATAAAACAGTGAACGGAGTATACTTCATGAAGATAGGGAAAGCCCAGTCTCCTTGAATCATCAGGTCTCTGACACCACCTACAGCCCTAACCTACACCTGCCTGCCACATACAGACCCACTGACTGGCCTTCAATCCCTGTCAACCTTGGCTACTAGCATAACTGCAAGCCACCAGGTCATCTAACCTCTCACTTACTCTCTCTTCTTGCTCCTGCTCTCTCCCCACCACCTGACAGCAGACCATCCTCCTAGAGTCCCTACCTCATTTGAAGTAACTCCCCTGTGCTATTCAGCCCTTTCAAAAACTCCTCTACCTGTCAGCCTTAGATGAAACATCTCTTGAATCCCCTTTGAAAAGAAGCTACTTATTCTTTCACTCACTATAAATTAGAAGAAGGGAAAACAGGAAACCTCCTACTTTCCACTATTTCTAGATCATTTATAGGTTTTTATACAGCATATGCTATAAGAGAAAGGGCAGAATAGTGTCACTGTCTTCTTGAGGCAGACTGCCTGCATTCAAGTCTAGCTCCACTACTCAAAGTATATGATCTTGAGCTAAGTTACTCTAGCTCTCTGTACCTCAGTTTCCTCATCCGTAAAACAAGAATATTGACACTACCTACCTAATGGTGTTATTATAATTGAGCAATTTAATACAAGGAATGCACTTAAAATCATAGCTGGCATCAGTAAATGTTTTTATTATTGTCCTTTTCTACTTCTTTTCCTATGTGTTCAAGCCATACAGGTACACCATCCTCTGTTCCTTTCATTAATGTTGCCCAAATTCCCCAATACTCATTGAAGGTTCATTCTTTACCTTTTTAACCCATCTCAGCCATCACTCTACATGACATGAATGCAGATATACCTGATCCATGCAGTATCACTGCTTCAAAGTTCCTTGATTTCAATTCCTACAATCTTCACTGCCATTCCAAGATAGCAATCAAGATCACACTCTGAAAGACACCTCATCACTGCTTAGGACTGCTCTGATGTTGACATTTTAAACTGGAACGTCCACAATGCCTGTACTTCTCTGCCAGTCCTCCTGTTCAACCACATGAAATTCTCCTGTCCCTTGGCCTCCTCCAGTTTCTCACTACAATCCTCCCTGGTATTTTCAGCGCTACATTCTTCCTCATCCACCCAAGATCCTTAACTTGAACCACTCTACTGCCAACTATCAATTCTCTTGCCCTTCTGCTGCACATACCTATCTTTCCCTCCTGTTTAGGAATGATCCTTGCACTACTGCACTAGAGGCCATCCTCTGTAGTATTCTCAGAAATCCTGCTCTATTAATTACCCTCTCCTTTAATTACAATCTCTCCTCTTTATAGGACTTTTTTCCATGCCTACAAACATGTTCGACTCTCACTTATCTTTCTTTTAAAATCTTGAGATTTATGTCACCTCAAATAAATTAATTTTTGCCCTTTTCCTGGGGTTACTATATCTTGGTTCTGAACTGACACTAATCCCTGGAGTCCCAAAACATTACAGTAGTCCACTAGCCAGACTAGAAGTCTTTGGGGTCTTTTTTGTTTGTTTGTTTGTTTTTGGCTGTGCAGTGCAGCTTGTGGGATCTTAGTTCCCCGACCAGGGACTGAACCCAGGCCCTCGGCAGTGAAAGAGCGAAGCCCTAACCATTGGACTGCCAGGGTATTCCCCAGACTGGCGGTCTTTGGAGGTCAAGTAATAAAGGGGTTCCCACGTCTAACGCAGAGTAGGACTGGAGATTATCTCCCCAGTCCAGAACATACAGTATACATTTTAGTAATTGGTAAATCCCCATATTCATTCTCTGACCTCACTGAGTGAGGACTACAGTGGAAGGACTAAGTGGACACCACTGGAACACCCATCCCCCTTCTCCAAGATAGTAAATCAATGCAACTAGACATCTTTGGGGAATTGCAGAGATTAATGCCACCACAGAGACTTGAATGATGCCTACTACGTCTTCATTTAACTCAATTATTTGGCGAGTGCAAAAGTCAAGTAGGTTTTCGAGAATGATAGTGATTTATCGCAAACTTGCCAATCACAACCATGTTTGCAGATGCAGTACTTTGACCGCAGCAAATCAGCACAGTTCTTGGTAGCTAATATTGCGACTAATTATCAGGCAAATTGTTTTTCCCCCAATTCCTATCAGAAAAAAAAAAATCAATCAGAAGCAGGTTGTCTTCCAGACGTCAGAAACCCCTCACTGTCATCTAGTAACTAATAACTATATCAACTCTCCTGCTCAGTCAAAACATAGTCCAAAAGTCCCCTGATAGCCCAGAGGACAGGATAGCCCAGAGAATTACACTGGTATGTTATATTGACAACATTATGCTATCTGGACCTGGTAAGAAAGGAAGAGTAAGTTCTCTAAATGCCTTAATAGAAAACACGTGGATAGCAGAGGCTGCGAGTTAAATCCCATGAAAGTTCAGGGGCCTGTCACATCAATAAAGCTTCTAAGGTTCCAGTGATCTGGGGCACATAAAAATAAACCTTCTAAAGTGAAAGACAAGTTGCTTCACTTTGCACTGCCCACCAAGAGGGGGGAAAAAAGGAGGCACAAAAATTGGTAGGCTTCTTTGGATTCTGAAAGCAATATACACATTTAGGCATACTACTTACTAAGAAACCTATAAGGCTATCAGCTTTGAGAGGGGTCCAGGGCAAGGAAGGGTTCTGCAGTAGGTCCAGGCTGTGGTTCAAGCTGCCCTGCCACTTGGGCATTATGACTCAGCATATCCAACAGTATTGGGAACGTCCACAGCAGACAAAGATACTTTACTGACTCTGGCTTTCTTCAACAGAATGACAGTACACCATCATTCCTGGGGTTTCAGAGGAAACCCATGACTTCTTCTGCCAACAACTGTTTTCCATTTGCAAAGCAACTACTGGTTTGCTACAAGACCCTGCAGTAGAGACTGCACACATGATCACGGGACTCCCCAAAATTTCATGTAATTTTTGTTACCTAAAATGGCCATTACGAACTCAGTATGTGCAGTAGCTTTCCATTTTTAAATGGAAACACCACCTCTGGACCAGGCCCAAGCAAGTACACAGGCACAAAGAGCAAACAGCATGAGCAGGTGACTCAGAATCCAACGGGACTTGTTCCCATTGCATCTCCACCGCTCCCTCAGTCCACACCCATGGCGTCATGGAGAGGTCCCCATACTCACTTAAAAGAATAGGACAAAGCACAAGGCTGAATTATGAATAAGTCTGCACAGCATGCCAGCGCAGTTGGAAGTGGATGGTAGCTGCCATCAGAACCCACTGAAGTGTGGTCCTGAAAGACAGCAGAAGAAAATCCTACTGTGGGCAGAACGTTGAATACAACTGACTGTACACTGTTTATGGAAGTAGAGATGACCTGAAGTATACATCTACACTGATCCATGGCAACTGCTGGGTTGGCCAGCTGGTTAGGAATATGGAAAGAACAAGACAAGAAAACTGAAAATAAGAGGACGGTGGGAGAAGTAAATGTAAAAATGAATTTCTCAGAGTAGCTATAATGTGGAAATATTTATGTCATCACATAAATGACCAACAGAGGCATCCTCAGAGACTGCAGAGGGAGCTCTCAAAAATCAACTGGCAAGATTATCTATCCAGTAGATGTCCCAGACTCTTTCC